TGCCACTGGGCCGGCCCTATCAACTGACTGATTTTTTATCTGTTTTATTCACTGTTGTTTTCCCAGCACTTTGAACAATTTGATGAATGAATAAATGAATTCAGTCATTCAAATATATTTAAAAACATTGGCCAGATACCATGCTAGATATTTGAGCTCGAGGGCTGAACAAAGCAAGCACTGCTGTCATATGGCAGGGGAAATAGATGTTAAATAATCAGTTGCAAATTAAGTGTTAAATTACAATTGTGGTAAGGGGAACTATGAGGGGGAACTTGACCTCTAACAGGGAGTGGTCAGATAAAAGCCCCCTGAGTACTCTAGGCTGGTGGCTGTCAAGTCAAGTCCACAGATGTCCACTAAGCACCTACTGTGTGAAAGGTACCCTGAGGAACTCCAAGACTTATGCTGTCCTGCTCAGAGATTACAACCTGGGCAAGACTGATGAGGGAGGAACTCCTGACAGCCCTGTGTTTGTGTAACACGGATGTGGGCTCATTCATCCATTCACAAGTACTTACTGAGCACCAACAATGTGCTAGCACTGTGCTGGGTCCCAGGGACGCAGCAGACAGCTTAGCTGTCGTGACAGTTCTTCCGGTGTCTGCGGCTGGGGGCTGGTTCCCAGGCGTCACTGTACTCGGAGCCCTCTTCTGGTATGGGAATACCTCTTGCTGGGGAAGAGGAGAGGCACACAGACTTGGGGGGAGTTTTGTTCCCATCTCACTCTTTCCAGGACCCCATTTCTGATGAAGGAGAGTAGTTTTAGGACTCTGGAACCCTGCTGGGATGCAGGGGGTATGGGCCTTTGTCACTGTTGTTTCAGCAGAGGAACACTTAGGGAGCACCAGCTACATGTGCTAGGACACGGTGCTAGGCTCTGGGGAATCAAAACTGAGTCAGACCAGCTCACATTCCAACGGGGCAGACAGACATGTGATCAGTCCTTTCAGTACCGTAGGATGAATGCATAAGTGCTAGAGTGGAGCCATGTGTACACTGCTAGAGGAGCCAGAGGCAGGAGCTCTAAGCCCAGCCAACCTGGAGAAGGCTTCCTGGAGGAGGTGACATTTGACTGAAGTCGTGAGCATGAGTGGGGGTCACTGGTTTGAGAAGGTGGAAGGGTAATGGGAACTCTGAATCCACTGCTTCTCCCATCCCCCACGGTTTAATCACCCTTCAGTGAAATCCTCCCAGGCTGTGAGAAAAAGAAGTGCTGTTTTTCAAAAGCACAAGGAATCATCCAAAAACATCTGTATTCATTTCAAAGGGAAGTGACCGCTGCCAGAAAAACAACCAAGTTGTTTTGTCAGAACCTAGTCTGTATTTATTCCTTGGTCTTTGTTTAATTAAATTAATCCCTCAATGGTTTCCCTTGGGACGGTACAGATCACTAGTGGCCATAAATCCTCAATGTTCTAAAAACAGTACGAAAGGACAATACACAGCGGAGCCAACTGGCAAGCTTGCTGTTTGTGGGACCGTCCTTCTGGAATGCGAGCGATAATCCTGTTCCTACCACACTTTGCACCCTCACGTAGTGTCTGGGGTTCTTTCAGCCCCTTGGAGAGGGGACCAAGGACAGCAGTAATTCTGAGCTTTGTTTAAGGGAGGAAACTGAGCCTGGCAGTCTCAGTTAATAAAGGGAGATGACTGCTGGGTCGGGCACCTTCCGCTTGGAGGACTGTGAGGACTTTTTATCCATGAGGTTTAAGGACTCTCGACCTGGTAGCACACTGGAGTTACCTGGAGAGGTTTAACAAACACTGCTGCCTGCATCCCACCTCCAGCCAGTCCGATTTAAGGGGGGAGGGATTGGGCATCAGATTTTCAAAAGCTCCCCAGAGGGTTTTAATGGGCAGCCGAGGTCGGGCACTGCTGCTTCTGTAGACCAGACCTTGCATTCGCAGACTGTCCTGCGGGCACCCCAGCCTGTCCTGAAAGGAATCAACATTTCATTGCCTCTCCACCTACCCTGTGTGGGAAGTCTTTTGGAGAAAAGGGTTACTGCTTCAAGGTCCTGCTTTTGAAATGCTACTTCAAAGGGGTTCTTGTGTAACATGTTCATTTTTTTCATTATTATAAAAGCTCGTGCTATCAACTCGTGTTAGAAAATTTGAAAACAGATCATTATAAGTAAGAATAAAAATCACCTGTACTCCCACCACTCCGTTGTAAGCGCTGTTGGGCAGGGTTCCTGCTGGACACAGAGGCAAAGCAGCAGCTGGAGCAGAGAAGGGGGACCCAGGCGGAGACGTTCCTGCCCCCCACCTTCAGAGATGGGCTTGAGATTTGGGGGGTAGCTTGTTCCAGTGTGCTGGGGTGTCGCTTTCCAGCCATCGGGTCTTTATGCAGGGCCTCTCCCCTCCCAAGTAGGGAGCTTCGAGTCTAGCCAGGGAGACACGGTAAATACATCACTAAGTCACTGCCGCTGTCATCAACATTGTGATACGAGCCGGGAGGGGAGAGGGCAGGGGCGCACTGACAGCCGCTGGGTGAGGCCAAAAGCTCCGAAGAACAGTTGAAGGTCCTCATATCAAGAGGTTAATTTTTCCATCAACATGCAAGCAAACCAAAGCTATTTCAGCATGGAATTCAGAAAACTACTGCCGTTCCCAACAAAGCAGTGGTTTCCATTTAATTGTGCTGGAAGTCCTTGAAGTTTCCCAGAGCTGAGAGAAACTGATGCGGCCAAATTTGTCCTAAAGCACGACTCAGGTGAAATCGCCCGTCGTCTTTTTAAGGATTTACCATGAGTGGTCCCCATTGCCTGCTGAATGGAGTTCAGATTACTCAGCCTTCTTTCAGGCCTCTGCCATCTGGTGTCAATTGTCCTTCTGATCCTCCCTCCTGCTACTTCCCCTGGGATTCCTGGAGTGGACTTTAGCTACCATGCCTGTCCTGCTTTCCTCCATTTCTATACATTTACTCAGGCTGTTCCCGCAGCCCAGCGTGCCGTTTGTCTCCGTTCTCTCACACTTATCTGTAGGCCTTTTCCTATCCATCCCAGCCTGGCGGTAATCCATGCGCATTCTGGACTCCCATTGTACTGTCAGCATCTCTCATGCATTTCTATCGTGTTCTGTCTTATGTTTTAGTTATTTAGGGTGCATCTGATAGCCACTCTGGCCTTTCCGGTCCTCAAATGGGGCCAGTTTGTTCCACCTCGAGACCTTTGCATTCGCTGTGCTTTCAGTCAGAAACAGTCTTCCTAGACCTTCACGTTAGAATTCAAGTTACGTGACAGCAGGAACCCCATTGTCTGTTTGATTCACACTACATCCCCAGTGCCTGGGACAAAGTAGGTGCTTCATTTATTGAATAAATGAAGAGTATCCTGTGATTCAGATTTTTCCTAGATCTCTGTCACAAAACTGTAGGTTTTGTCATTCTTCAATTATTCACTATGATTTATGCATGAGCTGAAGTTTTTCCTTGTTATTAGTGTTTTTCTTTATCTCTAAATCCGTTGGAAATCTCAATTGGAGTTCCCAATTGGAAGTCTAAAACATAAATATACTGGTAAGAGATAAAGGAATTTGCATCTATAATTTTTTTCATCTACTTAATTGATTTGGGAATGAAAATACTTCTTTTGGCATTTTAAAACCAGAATCCTTGTTCATGGAATCTTAGACCTATGCATTTTTTAATGTTATGATGTAGATTTTATTTTTTAAGTTATTAAATGCATTTAATAGACGTGATGAATAAATCAGCTTTCACCTTTTTATCAATTTGATACTTTATATTTCTTTAAAAGCATAATAAACTCTGAAGCTCAAAGATTTAGGAGACTACATTAAAGTGTAGCCATTGGATTCAGGGATTAATCAAACTTTCTAGTTAATTGAGTTTTTATCATAAGTGTCATAGTGATAACTTTTTACCAGATAAAATTTTTTTTAATGTATTCAATCCCATTAGTGCTCTCCGATTTTCTCCAACTTTAATGGTAAAGTCACTGGAAGAGCTAGTTATGAAACCAAGCCGTTCTCCTTGCTGAGACATAATGCTGTTGTGTCAGCCTATTTCTTCAACGGAGAGACTGAGTCAGTGATGGATTGAAAGTGCCTTTAACCTTTTCAGCCTCTGATATATTCTTAGTTCCACTGCAGTCAATGCATTCATTGAATGCATTCTTATATTGCATTTGAATAAGTAGCCAGGGCTCAGCACTTTGTGGACACATAATAAATATAGTTAATAACGGTACATCCATTGCTCCCTGGTAATCTTTATTACTTCTACCTAACCTCTTTTGGCTTCCCATTTTTCTCATTTGTTACTGCAATGAATAAATAGAGCACAAAGAGGATTTTCAAAGATTCTTCTAGTAGACAAATGGAATGAGAAAAAGTATGTCCAAAGGGCCTGATGCAGACTTGGAATTAGGGGCTCTTCTTAGACCTACCATGTTTTTGGTGGAGTAGCAGGTCTTTTCACTGTGCCCTCTCTCAGCTTCCCCATCTGCAAAATGTCACAGACAGTGCCAGATTATCTCCGTGTACATCAGAGACTGAGATGTGATTACAAAGCATTTCAGTTTTCAAAGAACAAGAATGGTTCTTCATGCAGACAAATGCAAATACCTGCTCATGGTAACTTACCCTCCTCAAGAACCGTCAGAATGTTTTCACAGCACTTGTGCTGACGTGGGAAAAATACAAATTGATATTAATTTAAAATCACTTAATGCATTTAATAGAGGTGAATGATTCCAACTTTGAAAAATATGTTTTTATATATACATAGAAACTCACCAAAATGTTGACAGCGGTTGCCTCTGGGTGGTAGGATTACAGGTGGGAGGATTACAGGCAGATTTTCTTTTATATGCTTTTCTGTGTTTTCCAGATTTTCCACTGTGATCATATATCAACGCTTAGAATGTTTTTAAAAGTTATTTGAACAAGTGCTGTGGAGTTGCTTGTTGCGTGGCCCTGTGCTGAGGGTCACGTCCTTCAGAACTGTGTTCTAATGGTGTGACTCTGCCTCAGTCCAGGATCTGTGTGCGGTGGAGGACCACGGCTGCGAGCAGCTCTGTGTGAATGTGCTGGGCTCCTTCGTCTGCCAGTGCTACAGTGGCTACATCCTGGCCGAGGACGGGAGAAGGTGTGTGGGTGAGTATTTCCCCCAGCCTTGCTTAATGAGGAAGGACAAGTTAAGAAGAGTAAGGAGGGAGGGGGAGGTCCCCACGTGTCCAATTGCTTTCCTTTGAGTTTCAACACCTTGCTCAGTTCTCTGGCCTAGTTGTTAGTCAGAATTTGAACTTGAAAGACTTCATTTGTGGCTGAGGTTAGCATTTTCTCATCCTGGGTCCTCAGCGAAAGGTATATTTATGATAATCTATGTAAATATAATTGTCGTTACTGCCTCCCTTGAAAAGGACTGGGCGAATTTTCATCAAATTTGGAGGGTATGTTTGAGATGGCCTGACTTCAATATATTTCATGTGTTATACATGAAATTCACTTGGTGGTGGGCAAGGTTGCTGAGCAGCACCTCAAAGACATAGGCAGCCTTCCTCCTAAGTATTGGATCTGTAGTTCAGTGACAGGTCCAAGTGACCGCCAGGTGTAAGAGCCCAGCTGTTGTAATAAGACACGATGGTCAGAGAAAACAAACAGTAGCCTCAGACACAAGCCCAGGTAAGAAGTCTCGAGGGCAGTGCTCGCAACAGCAGGCACTAGCTTGCAGTCAGTTGAGTGGCTTCCCGCTTGGGCGACTCCACATTGCATGACCTGGCGAGAAGTGGGAGAGTGGGAGTGGCATCTGATTTCTTCAGTGATGGATAGTGGTTCTCCTCAGCACCTGCAGAGCAGGCCTGCACATCCCTAATGTGTATGTGTGGCACGTCCCAGTTTGTCTGCAAAGCCCTTTTAACTCGCACAGTCTCATTCATCCTTCCACCAACAAACAGTGCCTGGCAAATAGTAGGTGTTCTTTTTTTTTTTTTTAAAGAGCTGAGTTTTATTTTATTTATTTATTTTTTTGTGAGGAGATCAGCCCTGTGCTAACATCTGCCAATCCTCCTCTTTTTTTTGCTGAGGAAGACTGGCCCTGGGCTAACATCCGTGCCCCTCTTCCTCCAGTTTTATATGGGATGCCACCACAGCATGGCTTGCCAAGCAGTGCGTTGGTGCACGCCCGGGATCCGATCTGGCGAACCCCTGGCTGCCGCAGCAGAGCGCGCGCACTTAACCACTTGCGCCATCGGGCTGGCCCCAGTAGGTGTTCAATAAACTGAACTGGATACTTATGAGGTAGAAAATCTAGAAGGAAAGAAAGGAAAAGGACTCGACTGACATCAGGACTGGAACCTACATTTACTAACTCTAAATCCTGTGTTTTCTTTTCCATATCGCATTGTTTTCGGGGGCCCTGTTGTATTGTCCCTCAAACAGTGAATGATTATTCTTTTGCACATAGAATTTACAGTTTCTAGCATACCTTGATTCTTAGCTAGGAATGTGGAAGGAAAAAGCAACAGAACAAAGCATGCTGGTGGTGGCCTGCTCTTTGCAGGGAGTGATGAGAGTATCATGGATTTGTGTGTTTGTTTTTATACACTGATGGGGATGAAAACCACCCTCATCAGAGGTCTGCAAATGGAATTGGTTTACTAAGCCTTAGAGTTGTTTTGTTTTGTTTTTTTTCTTAATCTGCGATGGTGACCATGACGGGTGGCAGGGTACCATGTCCACTAACACTGGCAAAAAAGAAGCCAACGTATAAATGCCAACTGTTATTATTTTTGCTTCATTAATTTTTATTATGCAAGTAATATACTTTCATTGAGGGACTTAGATGAGAAAATCACTATTAGTAGTTTATTGTATTTTCTGCCAGACCTTTCCACATATAAATATCTACTTCAAAACATTTTGTTAATGTTTAACAAAATGAGGTCATACTATCTATTTTGTTTTATATATTTTTTTCCCCTTGTCTGTTGTTAAATGGGTAGAAATTTTGGGTGCTGTTGGGTCAGAAGGAAATCAGGCCACTGGGAGTAAGGCCAGTGGATGAGCGTCAGGAAATAGGGCCGAGGTGTCTGGTTGATGAGGGTGAGGGAAGGCACCGGGAGGGCCCAGAGCTTGTGGGGGTGACAGGGAGTAGATGGGGCAGGGGAAGTAGGGGTTGTGGCTGGGGCAGGAGACCTGCCTTGGCCCTTGGGAAACTGGAGGGTAGTGAGTAACCCAGTTCTCTGAGTGTTGCAAAATAATTGCCTAGTCGTCCCTGTGTAGTAGGGAACCTTTGGGTATCTAAGGGTTTTGCTGTAAGTTCTGGGATTGGTATTTATTGAAGAGCTGCAAGCATGACAGTAGGTGCTGTGGTTACCAGGGAGCAATTGTTCTTTAGAACTGTGGGCTGTGTTCATTAGAGATGGGCGTTTCTCTTCCCGCTGCTATTAGCATGTAAGGATGTCTGCCTTTCCTTGGGGGCAGCGGGTGGAGGGGGTGGGGGTGAGCGTCCCAAGCAGAAGAGTGGAAAATGGGAGAGACTCTGTGCGACCCTGGTCTCATCCATCAGGTGTTCCTATCATCCTCCTCCTCAACCAAGTGCCTGAGCAGGTAGAGGCTGAGAGTGAGATAATTAAGAGGTGGTGGATCTTTGTTGCCAGTCGCCTTGGTCAGGGAGACTGAACAAATTCTTAAAAGCTCAATTGCTGCTTGATGAGGCTGTGCTGAGTGCAAAGCAAGTGATGGAGATAATGGAGACTACAGAAGGTCAGAGAAGAGGGACATCCTAATGGCTAGGATGGGGAAGATCTGGGCAAGGAAGAAAGAGTAGCGATTGGACAAATGTCCAAGACAAGGGGAGACATGAAAGGCAGTGATGGTGTGGAGGTGGCAGTGCTCTCAAAGCTTGAGGGCTGAGCCTGCCTTGGGAGGGCCTTGCTCCTGGGAGCTGGCAGAGCAGGGAGACTGTCACAGAGAGAATGCCAAATTGAAAGCTGAACAGCCTAACCTGAGGACATCAATCTGAAGGGGCTTGTCAAAGACAGAGACTCCAGGTGGCAGACTGAGAGCAGGAAATTGAGAGGAGAGTCAAGGCTGGTTGAGACCCTGGAAGAATTTCATTACCAGCTGGTCTGGGTGGCCTGTATGTAGGTGGGCAGGGAATGGTAAGAATATGGTGACCATAAATCCCAGTTAAACCAGGACAATCCCAGTTTATGCCTGTTGGCTCAGTTCTCAGTAGCACTCCCTTTCACTTTCATGGGGATTCCAGTTTGGATGATAAATTATAGGATCACCCTAGTTAAGGCCAGCCAGTCTGACTTAAACCGTTGAGGAGATCTACTCTGTCGAAGCAGAGAATTCCTGCAGGTGTGAAGTAAGAGATGAAGTTGAAGATATCAGGTGGAACCAGAGTGTTCAGGGTTTTGAAAATCAGACTAAAGAGTCTGGACTTTCTCTCTGAAAAAGAGACACTGAAGGGTTCTAACTGGGAGTGACAAATGCAAAGCCTTATTTTAGGAAACTTAATCTTGTGGCAAATTGCAGGATGGATTCCAGGAGGAAGATGGTGAGGGATGGAAAGACCAGTTAGGAGACTCTGGTAATCCTCAGGTGAGAGGTGACAAGAGCCAGGCTTTGAGTATGACTGTAGGAATGGAGAGGGAAGGAGTAAGGGATGAAAGAAAGTGCTATAAATAAAGGGGAGAAGAAAAAGTCACAAGTGACTTCTGAGTTTGAGCTTCCATGACTCTGAGAGTGATGGCAACAGTGAAGGAAGAATGATGGGCACAGATTTTTAGAAAAGATAATGAGTAGTTTTAGACAAAGTGAGCTTGAAGTTGAGGTGGGACACCAACAAGGAAACGTCAAGAGGGAGCAGAAAACAGCACTAACATGATGGGGAGAGGTTAGAACCAATGATGCAGTCAGGAAGCAGCATAGTCCATTTCTTTCTAAATTTTAATTTCCATGTATTTTTTCATTTTAAATGTTTATTTATGTGATTTTTATTTGTTGTGAAGGCATCTGGACCTTCAATACAGTAAGACCTGGGCCCAAATCCCAGTTCTGCTACTTGTGAGTCATGTGTCTTTGAGTAAGTCATTTAATTTTCTGACCTAAGTTTTCTCATCTATAATGTAGAGTAATAATACCTACATCAGTGGGTTTTGTGGGATTAAATAAGATAATGAGTAAAGTTCCTACTACATACTAGGCAATTATCATTATTATTATTACTACAACATATTATTATCATTTCCTGGATGTCATGAAATATGGAGTGCAGAGAGAGTGAAGCCCTGGGCCTTGGGTGGTAGCCACCATGGGGGGAGCAGGAGGGAGAAGTGGAAGCAGGAAAAATATCCATGAAGGAACAGCCTAAGCGGGGTGGGGTGGGGAGGTAGGAAAGAGAATCAGAAGAGTCATGGAATATGGTGGGAAAGAGAATTTCTAGTCCAGGTCAATATGAATGTCACGCTCCAAGGAAGCCAAAGGGAATAAAACTTAGAGAAAAAGCCATGAGTTGAGTCATTGATTCATCTCAGCAAATATTTCCAAACTCTTTGCCAGGCACTCTGCTCGGCATTAGGGACACAAAGATGACCAGGAGGCCGTTGGTAATGATCAAGAGGGGTGGGGTAAAGGGCCGATTTCAAGACAGAGGGAGTCGGTGGTAAGAAAATGGGGACAGCAAGGCCAAACTATTCATTTAAAGACATTTGGTGGATTCACCATGTCCAGCGACTGGTGAGTGGATGCAGTGAGTTTTCAGATTCAACACTTCCATAACAGTGGTTCCAGTACTTTGACTCATCCCAAAATTATGACTTGACCTGCATGAAAATTCACTTCTTAGCCAGACTCAGGACTTTTTTTGACAATGTTTCCACACCTCTGAGTTAGTGGAACATTAAATTCAAATGCCAGAGTCTCATCTAACTGCTCATTTCAGTTTAGATGGTACTGAATTTATTTCCATAGTCAGGTGATCAAGGGTGGATTACCAACTAAGGTCCTCCTTTTGCTTTAGTTGAGGCCCTGTATTTGTAATTCGTCAGCTGCCACTAAATCTGTGTTAATTTCTATCCAAAACTGTACATTTTTCAAAGACCATTTATCTCTGTCTTTGAGGGTCAATTTTCTATTGTGTTTGC